TTTTTTTTTTTTTTTTTTTTTTTTTTTTTTTTTCATAAGAAATATTACTATTAAATACTTTATGTTCACATGTTACTCGGATCTTATAATATATATTTATATTAAAGATACTCGACCTCAAGTTTCCGCCATCTATGAATGTTTAACGGTGTTTGAACCTCTTCCTCAAGTGCCATCACTTTCAGCCTCTCCTTCGTTAAGTCTCGATTCAAATGAAACACTTCCTTACGTAGATTGCTCATATTTTCAATATTCTTTAATAATAGACATTTCTCTGTTCTCAACTTTTTCACTTCCAATTTTAACAACCTAATGTCTTCTAATCTCTGATTATATTGGACCTCGCCTCGTTGGAGGGTTCCGTGCAAAACCTTTAATCTACTATATTGAAGAGTTAATTCATCGTTCCTACGGACTAGCTGAGTTCCCAGAATATCTCTCTCGTTCATAACGTTATCGATATCCTTCTTATGCCGTGCAATGTCTGTTTCAGCGCGTAGGATCACTTGTCGCAAACTCTTCTCTTCTTGTTTTAACGATTCAATATCCCGCCTCAAGTCGGACACGTCTTTGCGGCATGATAACAGATCCACTCTCAATCCTTCCTTTTCTTTTTCTACTTTGTTGCGAACTATGGAAAAAGAAGTATAGGAGATTATTGTAATCTTATAATTTTGTTAATTTTTAATTTATATTATTGGATTATGCAGTTGAAGAAAATTAATCAAAACAAATTATATATATTTATATACAAATAATATTTGAAAATATTATTTCATGTTGAAATCTTTGAAAAATATTGCTATTTATATTTATCGAGCTGATAATAAATTTTTTTTTTTTTAATTAATCAAAGATAAATATTTTATTTTTATATTTTTTATTTTTTAAACACTGAAAATGACTGAGCTAGCTCTTTATATCTTATGTACACTAATATAATATTAATATAATATAAATAATTTTGAAATTAAAAATTGTTTATTTGAAATATTTGAAAGAATATTTTCTAATATTTTAATGAAATGCTCATTTCAAAATATTATTTTCATCATTTGATATTATAATTTATATTTAAAATATTATTTCTTTATATAATTGATATTTTTAAGAAAAGTTTATTTATAATAATCATATTTATATCAGTTAAAAAAAGAAAATATATAATATATAAATTTATAATTATAATTTATAATAAAAATCTATTTTCTTCAGTTCTGATCAAAAATTCTTTAGTATATTATCTAATAGTAATGAAAAAATTTTATTAAAGAAAAATATTTGAATACAGAATATAGATATAAAGTACAAAAAGAAAATATCGATAATAAATATTTGACTCAACTCTTAAGAACTCTGTGTTTTTAACTATACGTATCTGATAATAGATAGTGAAAAAGATGAAAAATATAAATAAAAGAAAAAATAAATTAAAAATATAAAATAATTTTTTTTAATTCGAGATTTGAAAAATAATTCATTGGAACTATTATTTTCAAAATTATATAAGAAGAAAAAAATAATTAATTTCTTCATATAACACTCAATAATTTAAAATCTTTAATCACGTTATTTTTCGTAGTTAAAATATTTTATCTAGCATTCAAAATATTCGAAAAATCTAAAGTTTTACTTTTTGTGACATTTTTTTATTTAAACAAATAATTTAGACATGATTTTAGATTCTTAATAAAATATATAGAATTTTATAATGCTGTGTAAAAGATAAAAAGTATGAATAATATTAAATATATCTTGAAATATAAAAAAATATTAGATATAATATTTTTATTAATAATATAGTATTAGCATAGTATTTAAATTAATTATTCAAATAGAATAATTTTAACTTTTTTTACAAGAATAAGAAATCTTCTAAATCTTCTAAATCTTCTAATTATTTTACAAAGAATTTAATAAAATAATTTAATAAAATAATTAACAAATTATTATTTATTAAATGCTATTGAGATATCAAATGCTTATCAAAAGAAGAGAGCTTACGAAATTGCTCTTTAATCATTTGGCTTTCCTTGAACGCAATATCCTCTTTCAGCTGTTCGATTTGATGGTTGAGCACTTTTAGCTTGTTTCTCAGTTCTTGTATCTCTTCCTGCGCTTCTGTCAAGCTTTTTCCGCACGCACTTCTCTCGGCTCTAACCATTTCGTATAGATTCACTTGCTGACGATACTTGGCCTCGGCTTCAGCTAAACGTTTCTTGTAATTTGAGATTTCGATTTGCTTCAGTTTTGCTTCATTTATATATTCTTCTACCTATTAACGGGAGCAATTTAATTCAATTGATATAAATTAAATTAAACATTGATATATTCGTTTACAAACAAGAATGAAGATAAATTTATAATTATATCAAAATTTGATTTTAAATCAATAAAAAGTTTGGTGAAAAAAAGGTTTTTAAAAGGAATAAATAAAAATTAATATTTTTTATTTCTTCAAATGATATGATTTTACAAATAAACTTTTTTTAATTATATTAATTAAATGTAATTAAATATTATTAAATGTAATTAAAAATAATATTTTAAATAATATGTAATAATTTATAAAGATATTACTCTAACAATGAAAATGTAAGAAAATATTTCAAATAATTTTGTACTACAATACTATATATTGAAATCATATAATTATAAAAAATTCAAATAAATTTTAATATTTAAGTGATAATAAATAAAAAATATAATATAATTTGATACGTATTGCGTTTTAATTAAACGTAAAATAAATGTTTCATTTGTATCGACTCCAAATATAATATTATGATTAAATATGAAATGAAATAATATTTTTAAATATTTAATAATTTGAGGAAATATTTTTTATATTTCAGTTTTATTTTAATTTCTTTCAAATTTTTGTCAACTTTGATTTTATTATTTGGAATAATTGAAAAATTTGTATGTGAAATAAGATAAAGTTTTATGTTTTAATTATTATTTTAATTTTAGAATTAAAATATGATACTAATTTTTTAAAATTTCTTGTATAAAATTATAAATGAAATATAAATAATAAATAAAATATAAATAAATAAAAATATTATGAAAAATAAAATATTTTTAATGAAATATAATGGCATATAATATGGACAAAATGGAAATATAATATGGACAAAATATAATGAAATTAATAAGAACATTTACTATTTATGAAAATATGATATTTAAATAGTTTCTACATTGTAATTGCACTAAAGTATTTATTATATAAACTGTACATGCCTTGTTACACCAAAATATTAAATAATTATATAATTTATATGCTAATCGCGTAATATTGTATATGAATAATACACAATATGACTTCGAAAAATATAGTTCGAAAAGTGTAGCAAAATTTTCTGAATAAACATTTTAGTAACTGATTATCAAAAGTAAAATATTACAACATATAATTTAATCTTATAAATAATAATAATTATTCTAAATATCTATCACTTGATACTATATACTATAATGGCATAGAATAATGATATTTTAAAAGTATAAATAATTGAATATGTAACTTTCAAATTAATTGATTTTAAAGTAAATTTATTTTAAATTAATTTTGTTACAAAATTTTTAAATCCTACTGAATTTCTACTAACAAAAATATAGAAATATTTTTATAACGAATTCATAATTTATATTGAATTGATTGAATTTGTATTGAAAATGTTCTTCATAATATACTTAAAATCATTCTATTGAATATAGTACATCTATCGAAATTATATCAAGAATAAAATAAATAAAATCAATTATAACATTATTATATAATTACAAATATTTGCAAATCATTGGAATTAAATTCTGTACTTGCGTAAATTGTAGATTCTACCTCTTCTAATAGTTACTAATCTAGTATTAATTACAATTTCATGTACAATCACGAAATGAGCCGGTTGCATACATCCGATAATTCCAACCACACACGCGTAACATGATGTGGTTACACACGGTGCGTGCGCTGGAACCACTGTTAAGATGATATTTCCTCAAACATAGTAAATTCAATTTATCAAACATATATAATTACTTATAACAGTTGTGTTTCTTATAATATAATGATATAAAATTAGGTTTATGTAAAATATCTAATACATCAGTTTATTTAAACAACTATAAAGTTGTAATATTTTTATATTTATTTATAGTATTTTATTTATATATTTTTAATTTATTTTTAATTAATTTCATTAAAATGTTTAATATATGAAATTATATTTAAAAAATTTAAATTACGAAAGTAATTCATCAAATTAATCAAATTAAAACAAATTATAAAAGTTATCAAATTATAAAAGTTATTCATGAAATCACCTATCACCAAACCTATCAATCAATAGATATTCATATAATCTAGTTAATTTAATTAATCCAAATAATCATTTAATGAAGAAGAATTTTAAAAATTAAATAATTCAATCAGCCGGTTTTTAGACCAATCAAAATTCTTCGAATTATGTGTGAATTAAAAATATTTTTAATATATAAAAAATGTTTAAAATAATTTCGTTAAAAAATTGTATGATTTATTTGACAAGAAAAAATTCATAATTTTTATCTATCTTTTTGTTATTCCAGAGATTTATTATAAAATATAGTTTATTATTTAATTTTTATTAATTGACAATTAATTAATTTATGTCGTAATTAAATAATAGATTATATTCTATAATAAAATCATTTCAAAATCAATTTATAAAAAAAAAACTGATATAATGTAAAAAAATGATAAAATGTGAAAATGTGGAAAAAAATTTGTATTCATGCAATTATTTTTTAATTTATAATTATTTATAATTTATAATTATAAATAATTATAAGTAATTAATTAAAAAATAATAATAATAGAATCATTAAAAAAATTTAAAAAAGTTAATGTAATTTAATTGTTTTTTTAATATATATTATCCAAATAAATTGAATTAATTAGAAAGAAGTATAGTATATCTCGTGATTATATAAAAATGATTAAAAATTTCAAATCTATAAATTCAAAAAATTAAATAATTTTTAAAAATTATATTTTATAAAAATTGGCAAACAAAACAAATAACAATCATTCGTTATCACTCTATATATTATTACTCTAACTAAAAAATTTTTAAATAAATAAAAAATGTTCATTATATTTCTATATTTCAAATTATTAAATAACCAAGAAAGTTTCATTATTTTTTTTGATAAAAAAATAATAAAATACAGAAACATTTATAAAATCTGTGTAACATTGTTTTATAGATATATACTTACAAATATTTGTTAAGATATAAAATTATAATTACTTTTCTATTTTTATACACACATAATATATTCAATTACAATTAATCCAGATATATAATATAATATTATTAATAAAATATTTTCGATAGATATATTACAAAATTTTTAAATGAAAATTAACAAGATTTGTTAAATCTTATGTATATAAATTTTCGTATTGTCATATATATTTAACTCTTGTTAGATTTAAACAATCATCTTCAAAACTAAAAATATATAAATATAATGTTCATAAAATTTTTTTCATTTCTAAGCTCTAAGTGATTTTTCTAAATTTTTATAAAATTCATAATTATTTTTTTATTAAAGAAAACAATTAATAAAAAAAATAACAAATAAAAATTTTTTCACATATTTTCATTTTTTTTTCTATTACAAAAAAACTTTCTGTACATTTGATATAAAAAATAAACGATCGATATTTCATATAAATCCTCTTCATATAAATTCTTAACATATAACCAATAAATCTTCTTTCTTATGAAAAATCCTCAATAATTCGCTAAATTTACATTAATCGCTCGTGATCACGATCGAACACATATGCTTCCGGAGTTTGTGCAAACCGAAAATGGCGCGTATGCGATAGGATAAGCGGAATTGTTCAGGTGTGCTGCGTAATCGAGTATCCTGCAAGTAGTCGAGGTAGACGTGCTGTTAAACATCTATCTAATAATAGGTGTTGATATAGCGTGAGCTGTCAGCCAAGTTGTATGGTAGACGTGGAGTCGAGGTATCGGTGAGCGATACACGATTGCTGTGTGCACAGACATCAAGCGAATTGCACTAGCGGATATGTACGGTTTGCTGACCAGCGGGAGGTAAAGATAGACATAGGTCAGTCGTTCATTTTAGATATACCGGTTAGTCTTAGGCCTGTCGTGTTTTCAAAGATTTGCGACGAGATATCATCATCATTTGAAAAATAACTACTATTTTATGTTTATAAATTGCTTACAATTTTTTGATGAATCATTAAATCAGATTCTAATCAAAAAAATTCTATTATGTAAAAAAAGGATGAAAAAAAGAATGAAAAAAATAAAAAAAAATTATTTTTATTCTGTTTAATACGGAAACAAATTATAAATATTAATTTTAGCATAGATTTAAAAAAAAGAAAATATCTTAATCAAAACTTTATTTTCTGAAGATAATTATTCAAGTTTAACAAGAATTATACATATATTATTATTTGACATTGAAAGTTTCCATTAAAATTCAAAATTTTAAAGGAAAAGTTTTTTACAATTTAAAATTTATATTTTTGAACAATAAATATAAATCTTATTAATTACTATTATTATTATTAAATAAATTTATATAAAAATAAAAATATGTTATATGAATATTGTATTTTAATAAAAATAAATTTGAAACTTTTTAAACCATTATTAAGTGGACAATTATCGATATGATGATTTGACAGAGAAATCCTTAGAAAAATGAGAATTGTGTATATAAAAATTTCATGAACAAATTTTCAATCATAAATTTTGTAATAG